GTGAAATAAATCAGACAGAGAAAGGTGCATACTGTATGACCTCTTTATGTGTGGGATCTAACAAAACAAAACCAAGCCTTTGGAGGGTGGGTGGGTTGGAGGGTGGGTGGGTTGGAGGGTGGCGGGGTTGAGCAAAGAAGAAGAATAACTCGTAGATGTGGGCAACAGTGTGGCAAAGGGAGGGAGGAGGGGGCGATTGGAGGTGGAAGGGAGTATAAGAGGGATGAATAGTAATGGAAAAAATACAATAAAAAACTTAAAAAACCAAGCTTATAGATATAGAGAAAAGATTGGTGATTGCAAGAGGCAGAAGGGAGGATGAGTTGGGAGAAATGGGGGAACTTTTTTTTTAGTTTAAATGAATAAGAATTTTAAAAAAAGGTTATTTATTATAGTTGTTACTAATTTATAAACCTGAGCTTTCCTATATGGTAGCCACTAGCCACATGTAGCGATTTTAATTTAAATTATTTAAAATTAAATAAAGTGAAACATTCATTTCCTGTCTCATTAGCTTAGTTTCAAGTGCTCAGCAGCCACTTGTGGCCATGAAGCCAGTGGCCACACATTGGACAGTGCAGATGCGGAGCACCAGCCTCGTTGCAGAAAGTGCTCTTGGATGGAACTGTTCTGAACTGACTTCCATTTACCTGCACGCCCCCCTGGTGCTTATGCCTGTGTAGGTGCTCAAAGAGGCGTGTGGTATGGAGGGCCAGGTTCAAGGGAATGCAGAGTCAGGAGGTCCTGGAAAGCTCTGCCTTTTGCTGGCTTGATCGGGGGAAAGGACCCTGGGTAGGAGAGAATGCCTGTATATCTATATTCCCTGCTCCTAGCTGGCTTAGCCCCTTTAGGTACCAAATTAAGTGCTGCTGAAAGGGGGGTTTGTACTAAGCCAGTAGTTTCTTGAAATTTGGAGTGGGACATGCCTTTTGACCCCGAAGGACAGTGAAGCTGTAGGAGCTGGAGCTGGAAAGGAACCCTGGAGCTCCTTTCATTGAGCGTTGTGTCTTTTGGCCTTAAAAGAACATTTCAATTTTCTGATGAGTGGCAGTGTGTGTGTGTGTGCATGTGTAGATGTTTATTTAGAAGCTGTTGAAGGTGACTCTGGGGCCTCGTTAGTTGAAATATGGGTGCCATTTGCAGTAGCTGCTGACTCATTTTCATGGATGATGATTTTGTGAGTGTATGACCTATAGTCATCATCAATCTACATTACGACACATGCGGGACTTGCCCTGAGGTACACAGAGTGTACGGGGGACATGCATGGTTTGCCTTAATGGCTGATGTGCCACATATCTGGTGAGTCAGGAGTAAACTGGCCTTCCTGGACTTGTGTGACCAGAGAAGGTCCACACAGAGCATTATCTGGGCAGTGGCCTGAAGCTGACTATCATTTTGTACCAAGGGACACCGTACCTGGGCGTGTCTTATGCCACAGGTGAGGGGCAGCAGAGCCCAGGCTCTGTTCCCTGGTGGGAGGGCTTGGCAGGATGAGGCCAATGTTCCTGAGGGCTGCCAGTGGCAGACAGGTGTAGACGCGCGTCCGTTCTAAAGAAAGCGGTGGGGCAGGTCTTTAACACACGCACATGCACATATACACAAGCACGAGCACTCATGTGCACACACATGCACACGCAGACACACAAACACACAGAGACGCATGCCGTTATGTTGTTCTCTCTTTCTCAAATGCCCTCCTTTTTCACCCTAATCTATTCAATTTCAGGGACTAACCTTGTGTATCAGCCAGAGTCCAGTTGCGCCAATAATCTGAATGGGGAAAATTTAATATATAGGTAGTTTACTTCTAAAAGGAGTAAAAGCAGATTCTAAGGGTACAGAAGTAGCAAATGCACAAAGCAGCTGGGCCGAGCGGCGGTGGGCAAGGGCAGAGCTGAGGACTCAGCTGTGTGCTTCCCCGCTGCGGGGCTGAGGCACGGGCTTCCCCAGTGGTGAGGAGACACGGTGGAAGGCGCGGCCCATGGGAGCGGCCTGCCTGGTGGCAGAGGAATGGGTAGGATGGGGGCTGGAGCTGATGTGGAGCAGAGGCCTCCTGCGTGGTCAGAGCACTTGCTGGAGGGTGTGGATCTGAGTTGGTCCATGGAGGGGCCCACCAGATGGCGGAGAAATTTAGTGAGGGTGGGCTGGCCTGTGAGGACCACTGAAGCAGGCACCCCCAAGCCCGCTGCTGTGCTGAAAACGGCACATTGGGACTTTGGGACCGGAAAGGGAGATTCCTTGCTCTGTTATGGCCTCCTGGTGTTCCTCCAGAGCCCCTGTTGACAGAGCCTAACAGCCAGCCATCTGACAGAGGAGAAACAACACAGGTTCTGGCTCCAGTGTCATGACATAGGGCCAAGGAAGTGGATTCGGAGCTGGGAGGCCGTGTGCTACGGAGTGGCACATACCCTGCTTCCCCCGTCTGGGGGCCGAGCCTGTCCTCCAACTCCAGCCCTCTTGTGTCTTCCATCTGGGAGCTCTGCAGTACTCAGTGGATCCCACTGCCAAGTGTTATTCTCTGCTTGTGCACGGCTTGGTTGGGTCTCCCCGTGTGGCAGAGGGCATAGGACTCAGCCTGCTGGAAGTCCCCAGTGAATACCTTGGCAATGACCCTGGAACAGCTTTGGGTGGGGGCTGAACCTGCTTCCTTGGCAGGGCTGCTGAGTGTCGGGGCAACCTTACTGGGGTGTCTGGCCAGACCTGGGCTCTGGTCTCACCGTACCTTAGGACCAATGGACTGTGGATGCCTTTCCAGCCACCTCATCTTCGGCTGACGATTGTGATCTCTCCTTGGGTGGGTTGGAATTGAGGGACAGTTATTTGAGCTGCAAAAAGTAATTTGTCCATAGCAGCCCCAATCCTTGTATTGTGAGTCCAGTTTCCTGTGTGATGGTATTAACCTTCTTTCTTATTTCCTTAGGACTAGGGCTTGAGTGTGGACTTGGCTAGCATAGCACTACTGACCTTCTGTCATCTGACACTGGCCAGCTCAGTCCTCAGTTCTAGATTTTTTTTTTTTAATCCTCACTTGACATATTTATTTATTTGAGAGAGAGTGGAAGGGAGACAGAGAAAGAGAAATACCGATGTGAGAGAGAAACATCAATTAGTTGCCTCCTGTGGTCTCCTGACTGGGGACTGAACCTGCAACCTTTTTAGTGTAAGCTTCACTAAACTTACACTAAATGATGCTTCAACCAACTGAGCTACCTGGCTAGGGCCAATTCCAAAATCTTAAGAAAAAGAATTTCTCCTATCCCCTATAACCCTTTGATTCATCTAGGGTGTGCCCTCTCTCTTTCTCTCTCTTTTTAAAAGATTTTATTTATTTTAGAGAGAGGGAAAGGAAAGGAGAAAGAAAGGGAAAGATGTGTGAGATCCACCTGTTGCCTCTCACACACCCTCAACTCAGGACCTGGCCCACAACCCAGGCATGTGCTCTGACCAGGAATTGAACCTCTGACCTTCCAGTTCATAGACCAGCGCTCAGTCCACTGAGCCACACCGACCAGGGCTAGGATGTGCTCTCTTAATTCTTAGAATTAGTACTCCTCTCCCTATAACCTCCTTTCTGGGGAAAGAGACTGTCCCTGGCCCAGCTTGAATCAGGTATCCACGTCAAGGCAGGAGGACCCTGCCCAGGACGGTGAACTTATGTGAACATAGGGTTCCCTGAGAATGCGCTGGGGTGGGAGGCAGAGGCGTCCAGCAGAGCCGGCAGAGGATGGGCCCCCAGGGGCCTAAGGGCACCCTGCTTGTGCCTGGATCCTGGGGCAGTTGCTCTGCTGTGGTGGGAGGGGGCAGATAGGCTTCCTGGCTGCTGGGACAAGGCTGTTCAGGGCTGCAGTGTTTTCTTAATTTCTAAAGGAACAGTTTTCTGTGTGGTTCACTTGGCAACTAATTATATAGGATTTCTGAACATTTCTTTCATGTTTGTTTCCAACTGTTATTTAACTCTTCATGTGGTTTATTGCCTCCAATGTGTACATAATATGTCAGCATTTTTCATAGCACTTAGGAGAGGCTGAATCCATCATAGACGTTCACCCCTTCCTGGTTGACTTCATGGGTGGAAGAGGCACCAGGTCCCCACGGGGCCTGGACTCTGTGTTTTCTGTGTGTGCTCACGGCCCCACCTTCCCTCAGGAGCTGTAGCTCCAGGAAGGCAGGACCCTCAGGGCCCCAGGATCCTCAGCTGAGCTGGGGTGACGCCGGGGGATGCAGAGCCTGTGGCAGATATGGGCCACCTCCGGCTCTGGAAGGACAGGTGGGCTTCAGGCCGCAAGTTAAGGCTGCCCTGTTCCAGACAACCTGCTAACCACCTGCTCCACGTGCCAGTACATTTTTTGCTCCAGTTAATATGAGACCACTGCAAAAGTATGCTAAAAGTTAGAAGAGCTCTAGGTTTAGAGGGTTTTCTAGACTCCCCCTTTTGATATTTATTAGCTATTTGTTTATAAGCAAACCATCTGAGTTTCTTATCTTTAAAGATACCAAGCTGCCTCCTGAGCTGCTGTAAGGATTAAAAGAAATGTATGTGAGCATGTTTTATAAATTGTAGGCCTCCAAATGGATGGTAGTATTAGTATGTCTAAGGGTTGGGTGGCAAGTGCATTAACTCACTGTACCCTTTCACGAGTCATTAGTCAATTAGATTTGGGAAAAGCCTTGAACAAACATTTCCGAGGGAGTGGGACCAGACTAGGTACATCTGATGGAAAGGCAGTGATCAGGAACATCTGGCCATAGGTGAGAAGGCCGGCCTAGATGTGAAGTTGGAGTTGCCTGCTCTGGGTACTGAGACTGAAGAAGAACATGGAGGGAAAAGGCGAATGAGGGCTTTTGTGTGTGTGTGTGTGTGTGTGTGCGCGTGTGTGCGCGCGCTGGGGGTGGGGTGGGGGTGTAAATCAGGGTCTTCAAGCAGAGAGGGCAGGGGAACAATGCCCACAGGTCAGTGTGCACTCACACCTCTCCGGTCCTGGCCTTTCTCCCTGCAGGTGCACCTCCGTTCTGCCAGGCGTCTCTGTGAACTCTGCTGTGCCAACCGAGGCACCTTCATCAAGGTGGGCCAGCACCTGGCGGCCCTGGAGTACCTGCTGCCCCAGGAGTACACCAGCACGCTGAAGGTGCTGCACAGCCAGGCCCCGCAGAGCAGCATGCAAGAGGTCCGCCAGGTCATCCGCGAGGACCTGGGCAAAGAGGTACCTGCTTCTTCAGCCAGGGGCGTGGGCCCCGGGACGGCATGCTTCTCAAAAGGTCCCTGCAGCACTCTCTCTGACAGGTGCTGGGGACCCAACGCTACTGTGGAGCCTCACTTCATTGCAGCTTCCAGGGCTCAGGTCCAGGCAGTTAGAAGGAACCTCAGGGTCCTTCAGGAGAAGTATTAGCTGAATCTTATGAAAGAGTTGACATTCTACTGTTGTTGACATGCAACCTAATCTGATTCGCATGGTTCAACCTAACAATATCTATCCACTATGGAGGGTTTCCCGTGTGCCGACAGCTGGGTGTGTTCCGTGTGTTATCTCACTCAATCTTCACGCAAACACATGAGGTAGGTACTGTTATTAACCCCATTTTGCCGATGAGGGATGGAGGCTTAGGTGCTAAGGTAAAGTGTCCAAAGGCACATTAGGATGTGATTCCAGCACTGCTCTCTGATGTTGCCAGTAAGCTGTCCAGGTCGGTGCATTGGTCTTCCCAGAACATCTCTGGCGGGCAGTCATCAGCCTCTGCTTGATTACCTCCAGTGAGAAGCAGCTTATTCTCTCATCGGCTGCCCAAGATGGTCTTTCCTTATGTTAGTCGTCTCTAATTATAAAAGTGCTTCTTCCCAAGGGCTAAAACCTGCCTCCTCAGACCTCACTTTTCCAATCTTTATTCTGACACTTAGGGCAACAGAGAAAGGGGAAAAGGGCCCTTCTGTGCACAGCCCTGATTACATGCCTTTGGATTCATGCTAGTGACTTGCAGGATGTGTGGAGCCTGAACTGGGCACAGTGGCACGGACCCTTGCTGGCCTATTCCGGTCATCTTGCTTCTGGGGATAGGGAGGGGCTTGAGCAGCTGCCTGCCAGTTGCTGAGCTGTGGGTCAGGCCCAGGCCTATGAGTTTTGTGCTATAATTTGAGGGTACTTTAAAGATCTATACTAAAAAAAATTTCTCTCCCCCCTTACCTATTACTCTATTTGACCTCCTCCTCTTTGACAGAAAACCCTCTGGGTCTTCTAGAATTTCTCCTGAGCAAAATAATCTTAAAGTCAAGCCTCGATCAGCTAATACCTTTCCTGAGATTAGTTTGCAGCCTTGGATGCCTCCCATTTGCCCTAGAATAAAATCCTTAGCAGGGTTTTCCAGGTCCACTTTCCAGTCGCCTGTCTGTTTCATTACTGTCTCTGGGTGGGGCACAGGGGCTTTAGAGTTTGGGCTCTGAAGCCAGGGGCGTGGACCATGCACATATTATTTATCCAGTCCCTCACTTTCCTAACCTGTAGAATGCGGCAGAGTGTCCACCTCATAAGGTTGTTGTGAGGATGAGATCATGAATATAAGTGCTGTAGTGCAGACCCTGACCTGGAGCAAATGCTCAGCAAATACTAGCTGCTCCTCAGATTCACCGTGTACCCTTAGCCCTCAGTGCCTAGGCTGTGATCTTCTGTCTGCCTGGAATGTCTTCACCCCATTCTCTCCCTGTCATGTCATTTCTTGTGTTTGTAGACCATTCATGCATCTGTCCATCCATTCACCAAAGGCCAGGCACAGTGCTGGGTGTGCTGGCCAAAGCCCAGCTCTCTTGTGAAATCTCCTGTGACCATCTGCACAACTTTGCTTCCTCTGCTTGTGCATTGTGTGGCTTGGTTGGTTACACTTAGGTGATTTCAGTGCAAGGTCTAAAGTCCTTGGGGAGGAAGACTACAATGGTCCTTTTACCCTGTGTCTACAGCACCAGAACAGTATCTGGTATATAGTAGGTGCCAGTGTTTGTTTAATGAACTAATGGATGAACAAAGGACAACTTCCTCAGTCCCCTCAGGACAGGGTGGAGAGTAGGGGCAGAGGTTTCTTCAAGACCAGTTCCATTTCTCTGATCTGCATTGAACTGGTCCTGGCTATTTGTTTGTTAATGTAGAGCCAGTATCACGTGCCCAGCATGTAGTCAAAGATGTCTGGCCTGGAGGGGGCTTGGATCACATGGTGGGGGGAGCATAGAAACCTCTGTGGACTCCCTTCCCACTGAGGGACATCTCGGAAACTGGGGCAATTGAGCGAAGGTGAAACCTGGCTTAGGGCTGGAGTCAGGAGCAGGGTTAGGATGGAGGGACCCCAGGCAGAGGGGCAGGATTGGCACAGAGGAGGCCCTCGCTTGGCTTTGCTTCTTGCCAAGACTATTGGCCTCTTGCTTCCTATAGCATGAGATTTACCCCCGAATTAAAACTAAATAAATCACTATAATAACAGTGTGAAGTGCATCAGTGCTGGCATGTGGCAGCTCAGTGGGGGTGGCTGCAAGGGAGGAAAGCCAGAAGATTAACCCTTGGAGGCCGGCTTGCCTGTGGAGAGCTGAGGAGGGAGGCAAAAGCAGGCCTGTGGCTCTCGGGAAGTTGGGGAGCAAGGTGAGAAGTTTGGGCTTTGGCAGTCATGGTGGGCCCACCCGGCCGGCCAAAGGATGCTTGGGGTTGGAAGATTTCATCTGCATCTTCAGGGCCTCTTCTCCCGGTCCCCCGGCTGAGTAGTCCTGAGCATGGTGGCCCGTGGCTTCTGCCCCACAGGTTGTCTTAAGCTCTCTGAGAAGGAGGCTAATGTCAAGGTCATGGTGTTGTGGGGGTGTCCCCCACAGCTGGGAAGCTCAGAAACCTCTGGTTTCTTAGCGCGGCCCCCACAGGCATGCAGTCAAAGTCTTCCCTCCCCATTCCTCCTTCTCCTTCCTCCTGGGAAGATGGCATTTGTTCCCTGGTGACACACTTTCTCAGTCTGTGGGTGGAGGGAGGGGAAAAGGGCTGTGCGGGGAGCAGGGTGGGTGGGTGTGGGGGTGGGGGGTGGGGAAAGTCACTCACTTTGCACTTTCCTCCTCTTCCAATGCCTGCGTTGACACTTCTCAGGGAGAAGCTCTCCCCCCAGGAAGCTGTTTGGTGGCCCCACTGATCTTGGGCCCCATGGCTGCCCAGGGACCCTCAGTTGGAAGCTCCATTTGAAGTCCCTGGATTCAGGAGCTGCTCTGTTGCCCATCATCATCTCCCTTCTAGGTCCACATCCCTGAATGAGCTCTGACGGTACCTGGGAGTTGGTGACTGCCTGGCTGCTCTGAAATCTCAGCCAGAAAAGAGGGGAGGGCGAGCTACAGAGGAGCTCGAGGCTGGCATGTTCCCGCCTGTGCTGATTAGAGCTAAGTCTCTTGGGAACCCCGCTCATTAGCAGAGGCCTTAGGGGGCCATTTGTGTCCTCAGACCAATTCCTGTCCCAGGCAGACAGGGCCCGCCTGAGAAGCGCCCAGCATGGCCGCAGGTGATGAGAGCGAGGTTGCAGCTCTCTGGAGCCATGGTTTATATTGGGCTCTGGGTCAGTCCCAACCCCTGGACCACAGCCAGTGCCACCAGTGTAGAGGTGAGGGCAAGTGAAGGGACATTACCCTGGCATAGGGATTGGCTTAGGCAGGAAGTGTGCAGCTGGGGGACCAGGAACTGCATAGCTCAGCGAGGGGCATGTAAGCCACAGCACAGGACCTCAGATCTTCTGATCCCCAGCCCAGTGCTCTGTCTTTGATGTAATAAAACTTCTATTTGGCTTTCCTTTTGGAAATCAGTTTTCTATGTGTCTGCATGCCGCATCTTAGAAGTTTCTCAGCTAGTGTTACCAGAAAGAATCTTACTTTTTATCTTTTATTATGTTAGGCTTAAGTTCTGAAAGACTGGTTCTGGGAAGCAACCAGGAGCCCCAGCTCTAGGAGATGAGGTCATTTTTGCAGTCTCAAAAATGACCTGGATCTGGAGGGGTTGGGGATGGTCTTAGACTTGGTCTGCTGCCTGCCCTTGGGGCTGTGGGTCCAGGTGCGGGGCTGACCTTGGCCAGCAGATGGCGCCTGAGCCTGAGAATCAGGGAGGGGTGTTTAAGACATAGCCCCTCTCTGCTGAGGAGCCCTGACAGGTGGATGGGACTCAGGTTCTTTCTCCTCCTGGGCATGGTCCATACTGTGGAAGGAGCCCAGTCTGACACCTTTGCACCCTGCACGGGACAGACAAGCCTAAGCCATGAGGCTGTTGACCACCCTGGTCCTTAGGAGCACTTGGCTCTGTGCTGGAGGGGCTGGTTAGGGTTCTTCACAGTGACCACCTATCCATCCTTTCCCCTTCCTCGTCTGGATTAGGAGTCTTCTGAGGCCCCCTGCTGACTCTAGCAGTCTGCTGTTCTATAGCTCAACATCTTCCCCTTCATTCTTCCATTTCCTGTGTCTCTTTGTTATCCAAGCAACTGGGATTTAGTGAAAAGGGAACCATGCTGGAAGCTGTGGGTGCAGCCAAGACCTCATTCTGGCCCCTGTAGTCTGGGGTCATTGGGAGCTGCATTCATCACCGTAATAGCTGGCTATGTAAGCACCTGGGGGCTTGTGGGAGGGGTGGGGGCTGTGTGTGGAAGGGGAGTAGGACTGGGAGGAGAGGGGGAGAGGTTCCATTTGGGAGGATGGGAGCTTTCTCAAGCAGGTGGCATCTGGCCCAGGCCCCCAAAGCTGGGGGAGACTGGTGGAGCTGGAGGTGGGAGGAGAGGTTTACTGATTGATAATGTGGGCTAAGCAAAGGCACAGGCACTGGAAAGCATAAAGCACAGGGAGTGCGTGGTGAATAGTCTTGTTGACTAGAATTTGGCGTTCAGGTTGGTGAGTGGTGGAGCTGAGATTGCAAAGGTGGGGCCGAAGTCACATTATGAAGGATCTTTGAATGTTCTTTTCATAACCCAAGGGGGAGGGGAACTTGGAGAAGGATCTGAGCAAAGTAGGATGAAATGGGGACAGATTTAGAAATACGGGAGAGGAGGTCATCCTTACAGGTGGCAGAAGGTGGGGGGTAGTTTGTGGTTTGGTGCAGAGCTCGGGGATAGGAGTTACAGTGGCGTTTAGGAAGAGATGACAGAATTGTCCACCACACGGGCCCAGTTATCTTTGGTCACGGACACATACACATGTCCCTCTTTCCTTCCTCCCTCCCCGACA